TTTTTTTTGCATGCGTTCAGAATAGTGGCACAAAAATAACGCCATAGGGCCAGCACAAGTCATGTAAGATAGTCATTTCAGGCAACCAAGTTCATTTTTATAGCAAGCTCATGATCTCTACTCGAGATTAGTCCACAGTGTAAACTAAATCTCTGGCTTCTCTGGATGAATGAGCTCCACCTGTCTCACTGCTGTCTGCCAGCACCACCACACAGCCCTCATCAATTTCTAACAGAGAAGATCACTCAATCAAAATATATTGATTCTCCATTCGATACCTCTCAAACAAGTTTAATCACGTGCTTACACTGTATTAATTTATGTTAGCAGACACACACTCCCTAATTCTGCTAATTTTTTGACCCACTAATCTTAAAAGATGTCAGTAACTGCTGGTTTACAGAATAAAAAGGAAAAATAAAAGGCATTTTGGAGCAGCTCAAACTGTGACAGTTAACCAAAATTTTCTTTCTACCAATAGTGAACGAATGGATGAAGAACAGACGCATGATGCTACAGCATTTTGTTTCCTCACCGTGTCGACTCCTCCCAGCATCAGCTCTGTAACGCTTATGTAGACTTCCGCTTTGGTCAGTTTGCCAGAAGACAGCAGGTAGGTCAGGTACATGGCCTCTATAGGCTCACCCCTGCTCACCTGAGCTTCAACTTCAGCCATTCTTCTGTCGATGAGCATCTGAGCTGCCGTGCAAACACATAAAAGATACAAATGAACTTAAAGCGAACCCAAAACAGCAGAAATCTTCCCTTTTGTGTTTTTTTTCTGTTACATACCTACTTCATAGAGGTCATCCCAGGCCTGAACAAAGCGTTTCCAGAAGGGGAGGATGTTGCGGGTCCATCGTGGGAAGAGAAGCACCATGTCAGCAAACGTCATCATGTCGTTAAGAGCCTTGATGAAGCGAAGAGTCTCATGGGGAATCTCCTCCTGCAGGCACCCCAGTCTGGTCTCAAACAGGATGGAGGATATACCTGTAAATAAAATATTAATAAATACATAAATAAAAGAGTTGCAAACCCTAACCTACACCCCCTTTGGGATTAGTTGCTGTCCCTCTCACCTTCAAAGCCAAACTTGTAGAGCTCAGCTGCCACGTCCAAAACTGTGGCTTGGTCCTGACTGCGAGCTCGTAAGAGCTCAATGCGTTGCAGCAGATCTCCAGTCACCTGCTGGATGGTGGAGGCATAAACCGATACCTCCTGTAGCTTCAGCATCTTGGGGTTCAGGGCACTGCGGATGCGATACCACTCTGGTCCTGTTCTGTAAAATTAAAAGGGAAAAAACTTAAAAGGACCAGTAACAAAACTCTGAGGAACTCCAGTAGCAGGTTTTGCCAAAATCAAAGGACAATTTATAATTTTTGGCTTTATAAACTCTATGTTATAGTCAGTATCAATCAGCAGAGACAAGAAAGGATAATAACAACAACAAGAAGAAGAACAGGATGCTACCCTCACGACACAGAAAAAAAGTCGATGGATGAAGTTTATTAGAGAATTATGGCTGTTAAAAAAAACTTTTGGCCAGTTTCTGTTTCAGTTTCAGCACTCCTTTACTACTCCGCAGAAGATATTTGTACATTTCCTCTTGCTAAATGTTCTTATATACATACCTGTACTATGAAGGACCCCTGAGGGACGCCAGTATTCTTTTATGAAATCAGATTTTTTTTTAGCTTAAAGAGATTCTTCACAAGCACCCAATGGATGCCTCCACAATCCACCAGGTTGTTACATGGGCTTAACTTTACCAATTTTCTTTTCCAAAAATTTAAGAATTACTTATAGCTTATAAGATAAGATAAGATAAGCCTTTATTAGTCCCACACATGGGACAGCAGAAAGTGGACAGTGCAAAATTACAGCAGCAAAACTGGAACAGGATAAGGTAATAATAATAAGATACTATATATAATAGAATGAAATACTATATACAAATACTATGTTGTCAGAGAAAAATTTATATTTGAAATTATCATTTGATTATTATAAGTCAGAGGAGCTCCTCTGGGTTCCTTTCTGGGTCCCTGGCTGTTTGTAAGGAATTTCGGACACATGAATAAATGGTTTTTTGACATCATCTACACTCACTCTACGTGGAGTCCGTAGGCCTGGCCCCTCAGCTCCCTGTACTCCTTCCAGTGGGGCATCTCAACTCGGACTGGGTAGCGGCCTTCCTGCTGGATCACCTGACCAATGAGGTCAGGAGTCGCCACATTGACGATGTCAAAAGGGCCAAACTTGGAGCGCCAGATGGGTCCATACTGACGCTTCTGTAAGCCCTACAAAATTGAATTATTTAAAAGTCTATTTTACAATAACAAAGACAATGAGGACATGAATATCTGTTTAATTACAATCACTAATTTCATTACTTTTTAGATTTAGGTTTTTATTCACACTACTTTTAAATAGATTGATCTAAATAATAATTAATATAATTAACACTTTGAAAAGCTTTTTTAGGAGGAGTTTGGGAAGCTGTTTTCAGATTATACTGTATAATTTCTATTCTATAGCTAAAAACTTAATACCAAACCTGTTTAATTTTAGGTCATACATCTAAACTAATTAAAATGTTTAAATGAAACCACTTAAAAGTCATTCTCTCTGTCCCACATTTAGTTTGCATGGCTCGATCACCCCGGCGGCAACTGTTTGCGAATCCTTTTCATTCTGGCTGGACTTCATACAAAATCGAGCCAATAGAAATAAAAGTGAACAAAAAAGCCAAAATGTTCGTTCAAAAGTTTGAAAGAAAGTAACATCCCTGAATGCGTTTTCTCGAAACACTAGCAGCAGCCGTGGAAACAGTTTTGTTGTTGACTGAAGGTCATCTCATACTTGTTCTACTCTTTAGCGCAAATGTACAAACAGCTAAAAAGTTGCTGTTGTTGTTTTAAGCCACTAAATTCTCTTCCAGTACCTGCAGTAAGTGCATCTTTTCCGCGTATCCTTTGACCAACAACCAGTACATACTGGTGGTCCGGCTGGGCCCCGGTAAGTCATCAATGCTCTTCAGCCTAACCGCCTCAGTTGCTGTCTGCACGTTCAGGTTTCTTCTGCCCGGGATGGAAGCGAAGGGTGCGGGTCTGAGCACCGGAGCGACCCGAAGCGCTGTCCCGGAGCAGAGCGCTGGGAGGCAGCGGTACCAGGTTGCAGCAGCCCGGAAGCCCATAGTGAAAGCGCTGTGTGAAAGAGCCGATTGTGTGTGTGCAACAGAGCATGTGCGTATTTATATGCTTGGAGCGTAGTTTGATTACAAACCTTTCATTGTACAGATCCACCCCTTCAGGCAATGCAGGTCAGGTTTCATGAACCATGGCGTCACGCCTGTGGGGTTCACATGTCACAACGTTTTTCATTAACACAACTTATCAGAGCCTCTGGCATTAAAGAAAAAACACAGACCCAAGAAAATGATGAACTTCCGATTGTAATTACGTATCATCACTGTAATACTTGCACATAAAAGGCGCAAAAGTAAAGCTGTACCTGTGGTGTAACATTGACATCTAGTGGGCCCTACAGAGGTTGCACATCAATACATGCCATTGCCAGAAAACAAACCAACATACTGGTCTAAAGAGCTTGGAAAGAAAAGCGTCTGGACTTCTTTAAGTTACTTCAAGACGTTTCACCTCTCATCCGAGAAGCTTCTTCAATTCTAAGGTCAAATGGTGGAGTGGAGTATCCCAAAGACAAAAACTCCTAAACACAAATTTAGCAACGTAGTATATAGTGTAGCGAGGAATGCTCAGACCTCTACATTGGAGAGACCAAACAGCCACTTCATAAACGCATGGCACAACACAGAAGAGCCACCTCGATGGGACAAGACTCAGCGGTCCATCTGCATCTTAAGGATAAAGGACACTCTTTTGAGGATTCCAATGTTCACATTTTGGACAGAGAGGACAGATGGTTTGAAAGAGGAGTGAAAGAAGCATCTATGTACACTGTGAGCGACCATCTTTGAACAGAGGCGGTGGTTTACGACACCAACTGTCTGCCATCTATAATCCAGTTTTGAGTTCCCTTCCCAGACGACTTAACGCCCACTCACATCCTGGGCCATCTGACCTCAGGAAATCACATAAGGTGGGGCCAGGTTTCACAATAAGCTCCCCCGAAACCTTGGCTGATTGTGACCTACATCTGTTTTCACACCTTGGCTCGTGTGATTAGGTCGAGGATTATTAGGTGGTCCATTGTCCCTCTTTGGGGGGAAACTCCCACTGGGTTTAAATCTGGGACTCTCTGCCATTTGACCTTAGAACTGAAGAAGCTTCTCGGATGAGAGGTGAAACGTCTTCAAGCAACTTAAAGAAGTCCAGACGCTTTTCTTTCCAAGCTCCTTAGACTACGATGACCTGGAGGACTGAGAACCTTCACAGACATAAACCAACATACTAAATATTATTTTTTTTATCAGTCTTACACCATTAAAGTGATTCTAAAACAATACTACTTGAAAACTCATGATGTGCAGTGTGTCCTTAATTGGAAGAAACAAATCCAAACACACTGCCAAAGCAATAAAATCATACCTGGATAGAAAAAGCACAGTGGAGCACTATCAGTCATGGATCGGCCTTCCCAGAGCCCGGACCTCAACATTATTGAAGCAGTGTGGGATCATGTTGACAGAGAACAAAACAAAAGGCAGAAACATCCAAAGAAGAGCTTTGAATGTCCTTCAAGAAGCCTGGAGAACTATTCCTGAAGACGACTTGAAGAAATGACAAGAAAGCTGCCTAAGAGAGTTCAGACTTGCTGAAGAATAAAAGCGGTCACACCAAATGTTGACTTTGAAGCTAGTTAGAATTGTACTTTCGATGCTGTATTTACATGTATGTTGCCACATTTCAATAAGTAACTTTCCCTATTTTACATTTTCCTAACATATAAAGGAATTAAGGATGACTCGAGAGTTTTGCGCAGTGCCAACTAACAAAAAACTCCAGCAAAGCCCCGATGTGAAATAAATATCTTTTATTGGTGTCATCGTCATAATTGTTGTAATTATGAACACCGAGCTGTTGCAATACTCCAGAAATTTTGCCAAAAAACAGCAACCATTCAACGGCACCGCTGCGTCTCTCAGGACCCAACTATGCATACAATCTCCCATTTAGAAGAAAAAAAAAGGAAAAATAAAAAATATATTAAAAAATTATGCGTACCACTGATATACAGATCTGATACAAACAGGCATATTGGTCACAAACCAATTAGAATTATAAACATGGCTTCTTTTACAATACACAGACCAAACATGTGGGATACAAGTTTCCTTTTTAAAAAAAAAAAAAAAAAAGTAGTACAATTTCATTTTTATACATTTGTACATGATTTTCATTTTTTTATTTTTTATTTTAACGCTCTCACCCCCTACAGTCAGAATGCTCAAGGCATTTCAGGCGCAGTGTCCAATGAGCAACATCTGCAGTAAATGCACATTAACACACACACTCACACGTTTATTCATTCACTCATTCATTCAGGAGTGGCAGCAGTGGCTTTAAACGAGAACTACAGGTGTATCTTGGCGCTCCACAGGTGACAAATACTGGTACCGAAGAGTTAATCCACTGTGGTGAACGAGGCCAAGAATGAGACGTTACATTCATGTCAAGGTTAACTGAACCACCATCATAATCACCATCATCCATCTCTCGCACTCATACACAAAGTTATTAAAAAAAAATGAAAAGAAAGAAAAACAGTCTTTAAAAATGTGCAAAGAAAAAGTCGCCGAGCCGAGCTGCACGAGCGCAAGGAACCGTTAAGGGGGAGTGGGAGGGCATCAGTGAAGAACCAATAGTGCATAATGGTAGTGCGTATCTATGACGACCAGTGTTGGCGATCTCCATCAGTACCAGACGGCTTGCCGTGAGCCACCTGAAGAGCCAAAGGAACGTACCACTGAGAAGATGCATAATGTGAGTGTAAAACTGAGTTTCCACAGAGCAAGAAAGGCGTAAAAGTGTCTTCAGAGGAAGTCGGGGCAACAGAGGTCAAAGAAACTGTTCCCTGTCTTTTTTTACAAAGGTGCAGTCAGAAAAATCAGACTCTGTAGTAATACCTAAACGAGACATTACAAGTGCATAATTATTTGTATTTTTATTTTTTTTAAACTACTCTGATAAAAATCAATCTTCTGCAGGGGTTCAGGGTCGGGCCTAAGAAGCTGATCCGAGTCTTTGAAGCTTCAGCAAGGATTATTTGTAATTATTTAGAGCTTTTCTTTAGCTACGGTGTTTAAAAGAGCCATCATACTGTATAAATGAGAAGGCCAAGTAAACAATGTGATATTAGTTAACTTCACCAATCAGATTTAAAGAAATGTGAGTGGCCACACACAGGCAGCTGTAAGCTAAACATCTCAACTGCTGTTTGTGCTGTTGGAGCATTTTTAATGTGGTTATTTAATAAATAAAACAATCTGAGCTACAGCTCGTCTGAGAAGTTTACAGTTCATTCTAATTAGCATTCTGCAACAACAAGTCATGAACGCAGCTTGCTAACATGTTGCCACCCGTAATCGTGCTACACGAGACCACGTCAGAGACTATTTAACGTCCCAATTTATGAACAGCTATTAATATTGGGTTTAATCCAAACAAGTGGAAAACCATTTAACAGTTTTTGGATTTGCATATATAACAGAAAATATGAACTTCACAATCAAATATTTGGACAACGAAGCTTCAAAGGCCTTCACGTGCTACAAACAATGTTTGGATCATTTAATTCATTAACAAGTGCCAGAAACACACAAGTGTGACTCTCTAAGCTAAAATCTAAGTTTATTTACCATCACAGACCCAATAATCTATCCACCACAAAAAGCTTGTCCTGGTAATGGCTCATTCAGCAGCAAAGACGACGAGGAGAGGTGCTGTAGATGTGTGTAGGAGAGCCAAAGGTGGGGATCTGAGCAGAAGTTTAATTTTAGAGAGTCACCATCACTTTCCTCTGCTGGTCAAATGTTGCTGATTGCACCAGAAACACTTCCTCCCCTGCTCTGCAGAAACCGGCTCTGATGATAATATAAGTTTTGCATATCGTCTCTTTGAACCTAGAAACATTTCAATCTTAGCAGCACAACAGTAACTCCCACCAGGACTCTGATTCACGTTATTGTTTAAACATTTAGAAGCTTTCTACATGGGCTGTTTGATAATCCACCTGCTGCAAACAGCCAAAATTTAAGGCATAATTTGAGCCCTAAATAACCATTTGATTGGCTGCTGGCAGAGCTGCTCAGAAACCTCACCATTACTAACCAAAAAGTGAATTAGAAGAAGAAGAAGAAGAAGAAGAAGAAGAGATCAGCACAAGCTGAGGTGTCACCTGCTATCTGGCGTGTGCATAGTCAATGCTTCCAAATCAGATGAGCGTTTGTGTATAAAGTGACGAGTCCGCTTTGATGCATTTGATTCGGTGGTGACAGTGACTGCAGTACCAAGCAATAAACACGAGAATGAAGCTCTGCGAGTCTGTCTGAAAACGGTGATGAACGTACCAACTCCAGGAGAGGCTGCGTGTAGCCTTCAGTTAAATGATGAGCAGCTAAAAACGTTTAGTTTGAAATGAAACGGACAACAGAGCAAGATCTTCAAGTTTCCCCCCACTGCTTCTCCGATCTGATGGCAGAGACTCACTGTGAACACATGAAAGCACCAAATTAGCAGCTTCTGTCTCATCCAAATACTCAGGCTGGCTTGATCTGAACATTTAAAAGGTGCAAATTTAGATGTTAGATGAGAGTTAAACTGCTCTCCATGGAAGTTCATGCTGAGGAAGAAGATACCAGAAATGTAAAAACTTCTACGATCAATCCACAACACGAGGTTAGTCCTGAATATACTGCACGGTTTGAAACCCTTGCCATGAGATAGTTGGAAGCTTAAAACAAGCTGGAAAAGCCAGCTGCATTTTTGGGGGGCTTTAAGACAAAGCACTGCAGCACAGCACAAACATGGTTGAGTCATCATTAAACTAGTTCTTTCCCTCTCTCTGACACGGACGTGTTAACCAGAAAAGATGAACTGCTGGTGAAGCTACACGACCGCGGCTCCCTGCGAGGACCTGACCTGTCCATGGGATGGTGTAAGCTCTGTCAGCAAAACAAACCCTGCCCGGCCACCTTTCGCTTACCAACAGCTTCAGTTTCATTTATCGACTTGCTCTCCTTAAACTAGACATCCAAATCAGTCACCTTCCAGAATTAGCTATGGTGGTCTGAAGAGGATACAAGTGCGTTTTAGTTGACTTTTTAAATGTTTTAAATCAACAATTCTGCACGCTGCACCTTTCAAGTCTGGTCATGAGAGTGCTCCGTATTGCTTTCTGTGGCTGAACAGACCGAGTTTCTAAAAGCCAATGTTTACCAGCAGTAAATTCATGAATCTGCTGTGAATCTGCCATGCTGAAGAAACATCCAATCAGATCAGAGAATCAGAGGAGGAAAGAGAGCACAGGTACCGATGTGGCGCTTCACTTCTACACCAGCATGACGACTTTTCTAAACAGAGGATATTTGGTTTCCAGCCGGCGGCGCTGGTACAGCAGGCGAACGAACAAACCGAAATGATCAGCACAGCGAGTCCCCGTCGCAGAAAGGCAGAAACGGCTGAACTGGGATCAGCTGGTGTGAAGGCAGTTTATCCAGGAGGCAAAAATCAAAACAAACAAACAAAAAAAAAAAAAAAACTGAGAACAAAAAGCTGAGGCTCATTCTCAAACATAAAAAGGCACAGAGACGGGGACGACGAATCAGAACGTTTCATCTGCACTTCGTTCAGAAAACGGAGCGGACTTCGGTGAGGGATGAGGGCAGGTGGGTGGAAAATTCTCGGAGGAGTGTTCTCTGGATCTGGGATTCAGGTTTGTCTATAGCAGCGCGCCCGTCACTCTGGGTTTTGGCAGGAGACTACATTCTGGGGTCGGGTCAGCGAGACATTGGAGGAGGATGAGAAGGAGGCAGGGTGGGGTTTACTCCAGAGTCAGGCATCAGCTCCTGTTAGGGCAACAACACCGACGCCATCCCGCTTCAAAACGCTCAGAGAGAGAAACCGTACAAACATTTTTTTAAAAAAACAAACAGTTTTTTTAGAGAGGAGGAAGTGCTCAACCTCCTCCGCGTTGGAGACGTTAAGGTGCAACTTGCGGAGAAAAATAAAATAAGAATTTGTGTCCTTTATGGCAGTCTCATACAAACAGAGACAGGAGGAGCGCCCCCACCTTCTCCCAGCCAGTCTTTACTGGTCCAACGTGGTCTCAGCGTAAAGGTGGAGGGGGCGGGATCAGATAAGGCCGTATTTGGCAGTTCGGCAGGCAGGCAGGGGTTCAAGATTCGAGGAGGGGGCGGGAGGGGTTAATGTACAAAGATGTGCCTGAGCAGCTCTTCTGCAGACGGCCGCTGCTTGGTCTCCACGAAGATCCGTTTGAGGAACTCCCGGCAGTGGTCCGACACGTGGGCGGGCAGGACGGGGTTAGTGGGCTGCGTGGCGATCTTAAAGATGGCCGCCATGGCCTCGAACTCTGCCCACGGAGGTCGCTGAGTCAGCATCTCCACAACGGTGCAGCCGACACTCCTGAAGACGACAAAGCAAACATTTAGCCCATAAAAGAAAGGAAGGTCAATTTATTAGCTTTATTTGGTTTTCACTAGATCCAACATGGCCTCACAGCACAGGAAATGCTCTCAGCTACAGCTTCCACCTTTCTGTGGCACAATAACATTAAAAGGCAACCCAGTCTTTACTTTCCTACCCGTTTCATTCGACAGTTCATGATTTTATAAAAAGTCATCCAACAACATCGTCTTTCATCTTTGAAGCCACGTGTGGCCAAAGCTTCCTGTTAGTGGCTACAACGAAGCGTCTTCAGAGGTTTGCGCTGGTTACATACGTGACCAACATGGTCTTGTTTGCAGATTCTCTAACAAACAGAACATTTCACACAGGATAGAAGGAGCTCTAGATAACCAACACTGAACTCCCTAAATTATTAAATCGTATTAAGAGGGGTAAGCACGTGTGAACTTCATCCTACTCCTTTAGGAGCATCTAAACTAACGGTATAGAGAGATATTCGTGACAACTTTTTCTCTTCACACTGCGTTCTGTTATTTTATTTAAATTTACTCATTGGACTGATTGATGGTTGATTTCAGTCTTAAAAAACAAAATAAAAGACACCACCATTGTTCATGTTTTATCATTTAAACTCAATGGAAAGACCCACTTCAGACTCATTGTGTGTTACCACCATAAAAACTACCAAAAGACCCTCAATGTATTTTCTTTTTTGCCAGTCATATCTGTTAGACCTGTGGCTGTTCAGTGTTATTTTGTAACATGGAAGAAAAAAAAAAGGAAAGAACTGAGGTGATTTGTTGAGGACATCCAACTTTTCTGTTAGGAAGTGCTGCTATTTTTGACAGTGTTAGCTACTATTAGCCTCTGTTAGCTGGTGTTAGTGATACTTTCAAGTCATACTTGAAGTGCATCTAACATTGCTGGACTGAGTCTTTAGCAAACAAACTCTTGTACAAAGTGAGCATGTAATCAGAATGTTTGAGTCCAGCATTACTCAGCATAACTAATAGCTGTTGCTGTTTAGCTGGCTTGTGGCCAGTTGTCCCGAGATGGGAGGGTCACATGTCTAATCTGCTGACAATAATAAAGTGTCTCCTGATCTGAGCCCCGACTGCAGATCAGGAGATGAGGCTTAAGATGAAGCGGAGGACATTTTATTAAGAAGTCATCTCTCATTATCCCTTTCATTCACATTTTCCTTTCTTTGGTGACGGCGACCAACGAGTTCTCTTCTCCTCCACCTTTGGTGCACGGTGCATGTGGCCGGTCTCACAAACCAGTATCGTTCCCATGAACTTTTAAAGGTTTATTTTTAAGTTCATGAAAACCTTTTAATTTCTCTGAAGACGTAATTAAACACTGATGTACATATATGAGCAGAATATTCCTTTATATTAAATAACCTCACAAGGTTACATTTTTACAACCTTGGGTGTCCACATTGCCCGCCCAACCAGCCGCCCACGTACTTGGCGGGTAACGACAATACCTCAATCAAGAATGCATACCAGAAGCAACTCAATAGAAAGAAGAAGAAGAAAAAGAAAAAAAAAATCACAGATTTTCCTTAGTTAAATGAGGCTTTTGAGGTTAAATGCACACATAAGCAGGATTGGTCTAAAGACTTAAAGGAAAAGAGTTAGTGTTATCTGACTTTTCCTGATATTTCTGACCCTTTAACCCTCTGGAGTCCAGGGTATAATTGGCCGTTTTTGACTACTTTTGATTTTTTTACCTCTACATTTCACCTTTTAAAAAAAAAACAAAAAACTGTTTATCTTGCCTTGTTTGGTATCATTATTTTCAGCACAACCTCAAATTTGAGTTATTTTTTCATTTTGGTATACTATATTAGCACAGTTGATCTAAATCCAGACCAAAAAAAAATTCAAAATCCGAGTAGAAAAACGTTCTATTTTTTACTGTAAAACCCACAAACATGCTTAACGAATCATTTTCTTAAGTTGAAAGGCAAATAGAAATTGTACATTTCTAAAAATTATGCACAAGTTTTGCAAACAACAAAGTTATATGGTACTGTTTACCTAAAAATGCAGCCAAGGCCTCAGACATTTTTTATATAACCATTTAAATCTATTTACAGAACAATCAGGTGTGCTGCATCAAATAAGAAGGCACATAAATTATTTGTGCCAGTCCAAAAAAATAGTTTGTCCAGTATAAGACAGAGGAGAACACCAAACCCTGCAGGTCTGACAGCAGGAGGTGCATCAGTCCTGTTTTCCATGTGGGAACAGCGTTTACACTGGAATCTGAATTTGGTGGCTTTTTTGGAGCAAATGTGAAATTCAGCAGTATAACTGACACACAAAACAAAACAATGACTACAGTACACACTAACTACAGCCTCCAAACGTCTCTAATGTCTCACATATGAAAACTCGCTCTCTCTTTCTTTCGCTTACCTGCTTTCTCTCGCCAGTGTTGCTCCTAAAACGTCCCCCTCTCCCTAAACAACCAAGTGCCACATCATTTTTTTGATTGGCTGACATGGTAAACTTTAACACCAATAGGAAAGGGGTGTTTTTCTTTTTTCACTCGCAAGCGGAGAGTGTTTGCTAGCGCTGTCCATAGAAAGCGCCGTTTTTACCGTTCTTCCCGCTCTAAACACCGCGGTTTTAGTCAGAAAAATACATCGCGTGTATTTTCTAATCATAACTCCGGTTTTACGTGGCCCATCGACACAATTCAAAGACTGGTATGTAGTTTGAAGTCCGCACTTTTGACCCAAGTTGAAACTGAGACTCTGAGTCGCTGCATCTTGTAGCTGTGTTGTCTTAAATTGGTCATGTGATTTTGACGCGCCGGTGCGTCCGACGACCCCAGAGGGTTAATAAATAAAAGTGCGTTTTATATTTGGCCAAAACATCTTTGGTTGGTGTCCTGGTTTTTGGGACTAAAACCCCTAAACTGGAAGCAACACTAATGGATGTTTGTGTTGATGAAGGAAGCTGTTGGGATGTGGAAGTTCACTGCTGCGTCTGCTCAAGTCGGAGGTAAAGAAGCATCACTTTCTAAAGTCAGTTTGTAAAAATTCATCTACATTGGTACCACTTAAATTACTTTTTACATCACTTTCATGCTGCATCCTCTGAATAATGTAGTAAAGACTTTTGAGGTTGGTCTTACCAGATGTCTGCCTTCCTGCCGTAACCCTCTCCGCTGATCACCTCTGGGCTCATCCAGTACGGGGTACCGGTCACCGACTTCATGCCTGTTCCTGACAAACAGATGGTCTGCAGCCGCCTGCTGGCCCCGAAGTCTCCCAGCTTCACGTTACCCACCGAGTCTCTGAGGATGTTTGCACCTGAAAGACGATTGCACAGTTTCATGCTCTACTTTTCAAAGACGACGTTTGGTCCCAAGTATTTCCCCAGCAGGAGCAAAAACATCAGCTCACCTTTGATGTCCCTGTGGACGATCATGTTGCTATGCAGATAAGAAACCCCCTCCAGGATCTGCCTGGTGTAGCGGCGCGTCACATTTTCCGTGAGCGCCCCGTACGACTTCAGCTGGTCTTTAATGGATCCCTGAGGGTCACCAGAAAGGAAGGAATCATCAGAAATATCCCTGCTGTTCCTCACATTAAAATTTAGCGTCTCTTAAGAGAAACAGCTGTCATTTCCACTCGAACAAAGGGAACTTTGTTTGTAAGTGTTGATGGATTTCCACTCGAATAGAGCATGAGATTTTTAGCTTCACACACACATAACTGGAAACAGTGAACAGTTTGTGTGCACTCACTCCAGGCATGTACTCCATAAAGATGGAGAGCGTTCGCTCCATCGTGTCTCGCAGACAGCCATAATATTGGACGATCCGCTCATGGCACAAGTTCTTCAGGAGCTGGATTTCACATTCCAGTGCGCTCACCTCCTGCAGCAGAAACAGAAGAGCACATATTCAAGCAGAACATATTAAACCGATTTCACCTCTACATTCAACAAATTAGAGGCTCTAACAGCAGATACACGAGAGGACTGGAAAGATCTTTCTCAAGTGGGAGCGAAGTGTCTCTAGTTTGAATTTACTGAGTTGTATCCTTATTTACAGCCCTGTTTTTCAAATTAACATTGTATGATTTTCCTTTTTTTCCCCCTCCCTGGCTTTTTTATAAATCAACAAGGCATTTTAAAAAATAAAACTAGAAAAATTTGCATTTCCTGCGAAAATGCTGTGTGGATGCCTTAACGCTGAAGATGTATGCTGAAATAAGCTGAAAAAGGTGAGGGGGAAAACCCCCCCCCAAAAAAAAAAAACACATTGCCCTGAGCAGGATCGAACCTGGCCCTTCTGGTCTCAAGGCAGCTACTCATCTCACTGCGCCAAAGTCATTCTCACAAA